TTTTTGTACCAATACCTCCTTTGCTGAAACCCAGGTAACCCAGGAGAAGTACTGGGGAGCTGAGGGTAGAGGTAGGAAGATGGGTGTGAGGTGGGCAAGACAAAGAGACAGCGTAGGGGACAATAAAACTACTCAGAACTGGACTGGCTTTCCAAGGACTTCGAGTTCTTAGAAACCATTGTGTTGAACCAGGGCAGCTTAGTGCACTCTGAGTCCAAAACTAGCTTTATCCCTACCTCCTGTGTGATCTGGAGTCAGGTTTGTTTCCTCTCTGAGCCTCAGTTTCCTCATCTGTAAGTAAAATAGGATGATAATAATACAAGGTACTTTATGAAGTTATTTCATGGTTAAATGAGAAGAATCACATAAAGTCAGCATAGGGCACTGTTGAAATACATTTCTAGGCATGAGATGGAGCTACCCAAGGTGGGGCAGGGGTGGGGTTGGGCAAAGTCAGCAAACCAAATCTTAGATAACTTTCTATCTGAAAATGGTCTGCCTAACCAGAAATGCGGTACGTTCAGCCAGCCAACTTCCAAATGCCAACCTACCTCTGGGCTCTGTACTTACTTCCTCATTCCTTATTCATTCTCTATCGTTTTCTTCCGCATTCCTTATTCTTTATTCTATGAAAGCTTCCTTCCTTCTGCCCCATTTTTAAAACTCTTTTTACTGATTTGAGAGACAAACATCAATTTTTTGTGCCACTTTTGATGCATTCTTTGGTTGATTCTTTTTTTTTTAGACCCTCACCCAAGGATATGTTTATTGATTTTAGAGAGTGAAGAAGGGAAGGAGGGAGGGAGGGCGATAGAGAGAGAAATATCGATCAGTTGTTTCTCAACCAGGGATTGAACCAGCAACCTAGGTACATGCCCTGACCAGGAATCGAACCTGCAACCTTTTGGAGTACAGGGACAGAAAATGCTCCAATCAATGGAGGCACGCAGCCAGGGCTCATTGGTTGCTTTTTGTATGTGCCCTGACTGGGGATTGAACCCACAACCTTGTTGTATTGGCATGATGTTCTAACCAATTGAGCTACTTGGCCAGGGCTCCTTCTGCCCAATTTTACAGTTCTCTGGATCCTTGAGAATGGAGACTGTCTGCTTCGTGAAGTATTAAATACAGATTGTTTATATCACCTAAATTGCCTTCTTTAATCATTTTTAACAGTGCTCAGCATCAGGGAGTAGCTGAATAATTCTTAGCTACAGTTTCATCCAAATGAAATGTTGAGATCTGGAGTAGAGACATGCCTGCCAGTTCGTGACAGAGCATAGGCCAGAACTCGTTGCTCTTGGTTCATGCTCTTGGTTCCATTATCTGTTGTGGCTGCTGTTTCTTGTCCCCAAGGACCTTAGGGTCTAAGAGGGGAACCTAAATGTGTAAAAAATAAACCTCAGGGACATACAAGGGTGACCAATGAGGCTTAGGTACAGTACGGCAGACCCGTACTCTGTGACTTTAGGATCTTCAGAAAGAACCCCTTAACCCAGAATGATGGTGATGAGTGTAGTTTATATGTGCAAGACACCGGTTGAATGTTTTAAATTAATTGTGTCATTTAATCTTTAAAGCAACTGTAGGAAGTAGATAGGAACCGTACAACTCCCATTTTATAGATGTGGAAACTAAGGCTGTAAGAAGTTTAGTTCAAGGCTGTGTTAAGAAAGTTCTAAGCAGAGCCATTCTATGCAGCTTGCCCTCCTTGTCCCACCACAGAATGAAATTCCCATATTAAAGCGTCCTGCCTCTGAATCACAGCCTCACCCTCTGCAAAAATTCAAGACTGTATTCTAAGCCTTGCCAGTTACGCACACATCAAAATGCATGAATCTGTTCTCAGTAGACTCTCAGAGTTGAAAGAACTATGAGCAATAATAATAGCTAATACTATTGTTGTAAGTTCACTTAACCTTTAAAAACAAGACCACAAAGTGGGTATCATTATTATTCTTGTCTTAACATCTGCAGAAACGGAGTGGAGAGAGATTGAGTAAGCGGTCGCTGGAGGGGCTCGGCTGACAAACGGGGCGAGACACGGAACCCGGGCCACGGGGAGCCTTGTGCTCTTCACTGCGCACTGTCCTGCCTCATGGCTGTCCACCCCTCCACTTGCTTCATGCTGATAGCTTTCTATGGGCTCAAGTGCTCCTTTCTGAATCTGGAAAAAAGCCATAGATACTCTCTCAGACACATAACTCTAATTTTAGGGGGTCCCAAAAGCCTCTGATGTTTACCAGAGAACCTCCAGAAGGGCATCTCAACCCAGATTCTCTACCTCTTATCTCCCCACAATGTCTGCAGCAGTATCCTTCAGCCTTGCTTGACCATCTTTAAAAGTGGGAGCTTCCCATCTCCCCAGGCAGCTCATTCTTCAAACAGCAAGACTCAGTAGAAACTTCTTCCCCCTGGGGAGACATCTGCCTCTCACTGCACAGGGCCCGGAGCCTCAGAGAACAAGTCAGCTCTCAACTCCCAGACAGCGCTTCAGATGACAGCCCATGGCCCTTCCTCCCCGTCCCATCCCCCCCTCCCTCCCTCCCGGAAGGCTTCCGAAAGGCAGGGGCCCAGGCCTCTCACCCTGCTGCTGCCTCCTCAGCAGGGGGCTCCTTTTCCTTTCCTTTTTAAGCTTATTAATTTTAGAGAGAGAGAGGAAGGAAGGGGGAGAGAGAAAGAGATGTAGGTTTGTTGTTCCACTTATTTATGCTGCTTCGGAAAGAAGGTCCCGGCCCCTGCTGAGGCTGCTTGTTGCTGGAGAGAACCTAAGGCACCTCCCCATCCCAGAAGCGCAGGTGCAAATACCTGGGGCCGGACTGTACGTACCTCTCTGGGCACAGAGTAGTCTTTCTGTGAAATTAGGGGGCTGATTAGATCGGGGCTGCAAACTCACATGCTCACGGGCGCCAAGCGAATGAGAGAAACATGAGGAACTTCTCATTTCTGCTACAAAGAGGTAGGTTCCCTTTTGATTTCCTTAAAACCTGCCACCCTCTCAGTCTCTCATTTCCAGTTTCTGAAGGCGCCATAGAGGCAAACTATCCAAAGTAATAAAAACACAAATGCCAAGGGGGAAGGAAAATCGCAGCTGGCACTTGGTCTCAGTGGAGGGGACAAAATGGGACTGTGGCCCACTCCCTGTCCCTAGCAGCAGCTGCAGGATGCCTACTCTCTGTCCACCTGGGCCGCTGACACTTAGCATAGCAACCGGTGCCATGTGGACATGCAGGTCCAGTGTTAACAGATCTTAGGAGCTTTTTAAAGAAGTCAAACACATGAGTTTTTATGTGAAATCTCCCAATTTTTAAAATGTTGGCTCACATTTTCTTAAGCCGTGGGAGAGCCAAATACAACATGTTCTGAACTGTGAGCCACCAGTCTGCAATCTCTGGAGTGAGGTGTTTTGAAAGCTCCCTTTCTGCCGGAACACTCTGGAGGGAGAAGTGAAGGGGGAAGGAGGACAGGAGGGAGGGAGGATGGCAGGAACTACAGGGACACCTCTCTGAGACTTGCCTCAGTCTCTGCTGAGCCTCTGAGCCTCGCTGGTTCTGCGGTGCGGGGGTGGGGGGGGGAGGGGGAGGGAGGGAGGCTGGCCTTCCATGCTGTTAGGCTTTGTGCAGGTTAACCGTCCTTCCCTCTAGCTTCCTGCTTTCACTTGGGAGAAATGCAATGGCCTCAGGCCTCAGGAGCGTCTTAGCAGGTCTGAACAGCGTGCTCTGGTTTGTGGTTGGAGAGGAGGGACCCTCCTCACTCCCAGCGCTGTTGGAGGAAGCGGAGGCTGGGGAGGGACACTCAGCATCGTTGGCCAGAGTGGGGCTCTGAGCCCCAGGCTCAGGCTAGGCTGCCCCTGCACCCTGGCTTGCTTCTAGCCCCCCAGGAGCCCCGGATGTGTTTCCGACTGGGCCTCTGTGTCAAAGAAGGAGTGTATAGCCCACGGCTGATGTGGCTGACCACCAGCCTGGCGGGTGGCCAGAGCCCAGAGCTCCCTGGGAAGGAGTGTAAACAAGGCCCGTGGTAGGCAGCTGTGACCCAGGATGTTCCAGCAGAAGAGCAGCGAAGAGAGAGAGGGAACACCAAGGCGACCCTTTCATACACCCCTCAGGCTGCCCAGGACGCAGGCATCAGTCAGGTACAGGGTGGGGCTCCCTGGGGGCACCAGGCAAGCAGCTGTCACATAAAGGGCTACATGAGCCCTCTTTTAAGGAGTCTTTCCATTCCGGCCTTCTGAGCCTGTGATTCCAAAGCTCTGTGGTCTGGCTTTCCTCGCAATGGAGACATCCCTCTGGGGCGAGGACATCGGTGGTATTCCCTTGCTTGGAATCCACTCTGCCCCCCCCCTCGTTAGCAGCACCCCAGTTATCCCTCCTCCACTCTCAGTCCATGCAGTTTGGGTGGGGTGGAGGTAGACCTGGCCCTTCTACCCTCCTGACTCCAGGGAAGGCACGTGTGCCAGGCCTGGCCTGGCTGATCAGCCCATTTCTTCCCTTGATGGGTCCAATGAGACCCAACCCAAGGAATCTTGGAACTCTGGGGAAAAGAAAAATTGCCAGCTATTGGATCGTGCACATCTGGAGGGGCTGGAGACCATCTGGCCATGACATGGGAGGAGCCTGCTGAAGAATGAAGCCATCCCAGAAGAAGACAGCATGGAGAAGGGGAGAGAGGAACAGAGAGGGAGAGAGAGGGGAACCGATTGACCCACTCATTGATGTGCATGAGAGAGAGAGACCCGAGACTTGATGAAATGGTTGGAGGCCCTGGATCCAGCTTTAACTGAGGAAGTATTAAATCCGTGGACTTTTTGGTGAGGGGGTCCAGAATATGCCACATGGCATAAAAATTATTTTGAGCAGAAGGCATTCGATTTCCTAATATCTCTTGTCTGCCTAAAAGCACAGACTGCCCAGAGAACTCAGCTGTCATAAAGGCCCTCACGGGTAGCAGCCAGCGAAGGCTGACTGGAGACCAGGGGCGCCACGCCCGCACAAGCAGACGCGGTGCTCGCTTCGGCAGCACTCACGCTGAGACAGGAGCGACCCAGAGAAGGGTGGCGTGGCCCCGGCGCACGGACGACACGCGGGTCTGTGAAGCGTTCTGTATTTTTTTGAAAGTGGAAGCTGGGGGGTGGGTAGGGCAGGGGAGAGGAATGCGGGGGAAATAGGAACAGCTATAATTGAACAACAATACAAAAACTTAAAAAAAAATTAAAACGCTTTGAAAAAAATTAACAGACATTGTCATAAAACTATGGTATCTCCCATCTATTCTCCTAAGGGCCAATTATCTTTCATAAAAGTCATTTGTTTTCTTGCAAATGCCCTTCTCCCTCCTCCCCTTCCCCTTTTAATATGGTATGTAAAGCCCCAGTTCTAACCACCATATTGAGTCACATTTTTCTGTAAACTCCTCTATGTATGTAATTAAGTCTGTCTCTCTCTCTTTCTTTTCTTGTTAATCTGTCTGTTGTTAGTTTAATCCAAAGGCCCCCCAATTAACAGAACCTAACAGAACAGAGGAAAGCTTTTCCTTCTCGACATCAGTTTTATAAGGGAAAAAATCGCCCCCTGACATCAGCTTCCATGACTCCAATATTCCACACGAGTCTATGATTTGCTGTATAATTTACCTAGGAACTAAATTCCACTTTAATTTTTATAGGGCATAGAAGAGCCTCTGAAATCACAGGCATTTGCCCGAGTAGCCTCGCAGTCCTGGCTGTATTCCTGTCCTGCCTGCATCCCCAACAGACCCCCTAGGTGGCCCGGGCCAGCGCCTCAGTCTGCAAGAGGGAGCGCGCCAGGCCCCAGGGCGCCCCCCCGTTCGTTGGTTCGTTCATTCCACACAGTTATGGAGCGCCAGCTGCGTTCAGAAACGAAGTTCTCAGGGTCCGGTGAGGAAGAGAGACCAGTAAAAAGAGTGCGATTAGTGATCTGCTAGAAATGAGCAGAGAAAGGGGGTCTGTGGACCAGGGGAAGGCAGTGGGATGTCTCAGGAGCTTCCTGAAGGGAGTGACCCCTGAGCTGGGTTCCACGGGAGGAGGACTCAGCCGGACAGAGAGCAGAGGAAATGCCTTCCAGGCAGGCAAAAGGAGAGGCAAACTCCAGGTGATGAGGGAGGCTGTGTCCTGTCAGAGAACTGGCTGGGGAGAGGTACAGGGACCCCTGTAAGGGAACAGGGTGGCTGGGCCACTGTTTGGCAAGCTGGCTTTGAGGAGGACTGTTTCCTGTGTGCACAAAAACCCAGAGAGCAAGCAACACAGCTCAGCACTGCACCCGAGGCCAGGGAGAAGCCTGACTCATGCTCCCAGATGGGAATACAGGCTGGAGGATCCCCAGCTGGGGTCTGGAATCCGGGGGTAAGGCAGAGCCCTTGAGCACAATATATTGGTGAGCTCCTCGCTCACACAGAAACCTTGGCCCTTCTGACTGGAAATGGCTGCAGGCCAGCAAAGCCGGGTCCCAGGGTAAAGTCTTCCTCTTTTTTCCCCACTCCTGATTCCTCCCAGAGTCCCCCTTCTCTGAACGTGTCCTTGAGCTCTATAGGGCCTGGGAGGACAGACATGGCCACGGGGAAAAGTAGGTATTTTTGGAGTCAGACAATCCTGGGTCCTAATCCTGGCTGGGCCCTTAAGTGTGACCTTTCTTATTCAGCCTCTCCATCCGTCTCCTCCTCTGCAAAATGAAGCCAATAGTAATACAGACTAAATAGAGTAATGCATATATGGCGAGAGTCATGTCATTCCTATACTTTTTCTTTCTCTATCGTCTTCATAGCATTCCTTTCTTTGGGATCCACACCATTCTATGTGCTCTGTTGAGGCTTTCAGTCACAGATCTGGGGCCTCTTCCTGGCCACAGGGATGGGACACTGACCATGCCCGGACAAGCATGATGTCCCCTTCTTGGCAACAATGATTGGTCTCTAGGATGAGCTCAAGACTCCTTGCAGGCCAACCAGAACCTGCCTTGGGAAAGGACCTTTCCTCCTTGCAGTTACGGAGCTGGAAAAATACAAGTTTGGAGAAAGCCCATCATCTGTCTGTGGATTAAGTCATTTCTTATAAGGAAATAGAACCAAGATGTTGATGATAATGATGATGATGATGATGGTGGTATCACCATGCCTCTCAAAGCCAAATCTACTCCTGGGCTTCCCAGTTCCATGAGCCAATTCCCAATTCATTTGCATTTTTTTCTAAGCCAATTAGTTGGATGCCTTTTTTTTTTTTTTTTTTTTTTTTTACAGGCAGCTACAAGTCACTTGGCTTATGAAGTCCTGAGGACAGTATCTGCCGCCACGGGAAGAGCTCGATGAACAGTGACTCCAACGAAAAAGGCAAAGGTGGAATTATGCTCCTCCCCCACCACCTTTTTCCCTCCCAGAAACCACTCCCACCCCTTTCCTCCTAAACTGGGGAGCAGCCTGCTGGCTGCTTTGGCTGCCCGATTGCAAGGGTGGGCTGGGTTGGGGAAAGGGATACGAGGACAGGCAGGCCAAGCTACCCAGTGCCCACCAGCCAGTGTGGAAGCTGCAGCAGCCCCACCGAGGTCCCCAGCCTGCTCCCTGCCTGTGACTTGATTGGCTGTGGGGTAGAGCAGGCACAGAACAGAGTCCTACTGACCCAATCTGAGTCTCGTTGCTGGGTGGCTTCAGTCACTTTATCTCTCTGGGCTTTCGTTTCCTTTTCTGTAAAAATCAGGATAGTAACAACCCCTGTTTCTCGTAGAAGTTGCAAAAACTAAACAGAAAAAAAAAAAACCCTAATATTAATATCGTACTTAATATGTTCCAGGCATTGCTTTAAGCACTCTACAAACTATTAATCCAATTAACCTTCCAGATAAGCCAAGGAGGTAGGTGCTACTATTCCCATTTTACAGACAAAGGAACTGAGGCTCAGAGAGGTTAGTAACTTGCCCAGGGTCTTACAATAGTAAGCGGTAGTGCTGGGATTTGCATCCAGGCAGTCTGACCTGAGTCCACATTGTCACCCACATCAGTATGGTCCAGGCAGGAACACAAAATCTACACCAGAGAGTTCAAGAGAAGGAATTTCATATGGGCATCCAGCTAGAGAAGAGCTAGAAGAGACGAAAACCAGGCAAGGGGTGGGGGGCCAACCTGGAGATTAACAACTAGAAAATCACTATTTCCCCAGGGCTGAAGGGACAAAGGGAGGGGTCAGTGGCACTGCAGCCCAAGAGCCATGGCCACCTGGTGGGAGCTAGACCCTGGAGGAAGAGCCATCCTCTGGAGTCACTGCCAGAGACTGCAGAAGAGTTGGTGCCTGTGTGGGTGGTGCTACATCCTGTCTTCTCCTCACCCTGTTCTCTAATCTGCCAGTACCTCCCATTGGCCAAATATAATAGGAAGCCAGTGGGCAGGGGCATCTGGGAAATGTAGTTCAGTCCCCTAGATGCTGGGCCCAGCAGGGGAAGGGCAGGAAATGGATCTAAGGGCAACAAGGTAAATGACCTGCAAACCCACTGTGCTATACAGTGTCCTCGTCGAAATGCAGGGCACACAGGGGCAACGGCGCGATTCATGGGAGTGGAAGACACATGCTGCAGGGGCCAGAAGGTAGGTCCCTGACTCCTGGTCCAATGCTGTGTCCAGCACAGGAGTAGAACCCAGCAGCTACAGGCAGCCCGCGATACCTGAAAAGCAGGGAAGGGCAACTGGGGCTCCCCATGGCGCCTCCCCCTCTTGGCCTCTGCCCACTTGGAAGCTTCTACAGACAGCTCTGCACAGCTTGGTGCAGATCTGCCACAAGAAGCAAGCTCTGTTTTTCTCTTTAAAGCGAGTGGGAGCAGCCTGAAGCTTCTCAGCAACTGCTTTGGGGTCTGAGAGAAACAGATACAACTGCTGCTAAAAATTCGGAAGCAAATGAGTGGGGCGAGGTGCCTCCCAGCTCCCCACACCCTCCTGTTGCCATCTCTGTGCCTGCGAGTCCCCTCAATCTCCTCTCGCCTATGGGCCCCTATATGACCTCAGCGAGTCACTGGGAAGCAGCTGCCGCCTGCTGCCCTGGAAGCAGTGGGGTCCCAAAGGTGACATCCTAAGCAAGGGCTAGATCCAGGCCAGAACACAAGAGAAGATGTGGCGTCTGAACCTGTCCTGCCAGGGTGTAGTAGAGATGGTCTTGGGAACCCTTTGATCTAGAATTCTGCCTCTAGGAATTTATCACACAGATAACCTTACACAAGGGCACAAAGACTTCTGGACAAGGCTGTGCACTGCAGTGTGCATTGTAATTAGCAAGAGTCTGGAAAAAAACAAAACAAGTGGGCAATAGGAGGTGGTTTGACTAAGCAAATTATGATGTATTTAAACAATGGAATGCTCTGTGCTCTTCCAAGGAATGAGACCCATCTGTATGTGCTGAAACAGGCTGATCTTCAAGATAAATGAAGTGAAAAATGCAAGGGATAGAACAGTGTGTCCAGCATGCTCACATTTTTGGGTGGAAGAGGTGCTTTATGTATAGTTACACAAGCATCTCTTGCTATCCAGATCTATGTTCCTTAGTTCTGGTAGGGACGGTCCAGAAAGCCAGGGAGGCAGCATGATTGGAACCTTTGATTCCTGCATTTTATTTCCGAGAGCAAACAACAGGCATTGAGTGGCAAATGGTTCGTCCAAGAGGCCCTCAGAATCCATTTTGATCCTGTGTGGAATAGTGTGGGGACAGCTGTGAGGGAAGGGATATCTGTATATGTACAATCTCACCCCTGGGACCGCACACAGGAAATTGGTTAGTAGTGGCTGCTTCCAGGAGGATAATTCAGCCCTAGGGAAATGGGGTGGAAGGGAGACTTATTTTTCAGTTTTAAAACGTTGGCCCACATTCTTTGAAAGGTGAGTTTCTGTCCCCTCCTGTTTCATCAGAGCAGGTCTGCATTTGCTTAGATCAATAAAGAATGATGCAAATGTTACTATGTGACCTTTTTGGCAGTCATAAAAGGTCATACAGGCCCTGGCTGGGTAGCTCAGTTGGTTAGAGCGTCGTCCTGATAGGCCAAGGTTGCAGGTTCGATCCCCAGTTAGGGCACATACAAGAATCAACCAATGAATGCATAACTAAATGGAACAACAAATCAATGG